ATGTGTAAAAGGAGAAGTTCCTCTTTAAAGTCAAACTGAAATAAAATTGTATGTCTTCTGAGTAATCTGTAAAAATATCTTTGGTGTTTGTTCCTGTGTATATATTTGCTCAATGTTTAAATGATCAAAAAGAGGCTCGGAGTGCTAAAGTTACAGCAATTTTTCAGAAACACATCTTAGTGTACATCACCTCCGCTAGCTTCAACAATCTGTCATGGAGACGACCATTACGCCAAACTCGAGGCTTCAAATCGGTACTCCACAAACCAATGGGTGACGTCACAATAGGCTCACAGTTGAACTGGACCCATGAAAGAGAAATGGCTAGCTTTGATCATAACCTAAGATGGCGCCACCAACGGTCGCCTTGGTGTGTTGGTGCGCATTGTTTTGTCTTGTTTTGCTACTCTTAATACCCACCCTGTATATATGCATTACATTAATGCACTCCTGTTTCCTGTACAGTTTTGGATCTTTCTATCCTTATCCTTATCTTTGTTTATTTATATTTTAAAAGTACTTTATTTTTGTGTGATTTTTATATTTTATGCACCAATGCACCAAGACAAATTCCTTGTATGTGTAAAAACTTACTTGGCAAAAAGCCTAATTCTGATTCTGATTCTGATTCTGATTTAGCTCGATTCGTTCTTTTGTATAATGCAGGACAAACGCTGTAAGGGATCTGCACAACTTAGCAGGTTGACTAACGTCTAGCGGGAAGGTAGTGGTAACGTTGGCAAGCTAGGCTAACAGAATACAATCTTAATAGCACGGACACTCCCAAATATTTAATGTTGAGAAGAGACCGATGCCTTAAAGATACAGTTTGTAACATTTGGGAGATCTATTGGCAGAAACTGAATATAAAATTCATAGGTATGTTTTCAAAATAAGAAGAAAAATAACAATCGATGTGTTATCCGCTTTTAGCTACAGAGGGGGCGAGTCCTCCTCTCTGGAGTCCGCCACATTGAACCACAATGTTTCTACAGTAGCCCAGAATGAACAACCCAAACATTGCCTCTAGATAGGGCTGTTTCGCGGCCACTATAGTTTCTCTAAAAGCTCAGAAAGCAATCTGCAACTTTAATGCTAGATTCCACTAAATCCCTAACACTGTTCCTTTAAATTGCTGGTACATACCAGCATACTAACATACTAACTCTATGTGGTCTTGTTGAACAAGTGGAAAAACATTGTAGGAGTACGATATGCTCCAGTCAGTAGCAACACCGACCCAGATGAATGTAACTGTTTTCATAAATGGAAAAAAAGAGAAAAATATACTCAATAGCTGCAGTATCATTATAGTTAATATTTCCTCCTACAAAAGAATGAAGAAAATTCAAATTATATTTCAGCTTTAATGACAAAGCAGAATAAACATGCTTTCATAAAGACATTTAGAGGCCAGTTAAGGATAAAGATCAAAACAAGAGACAACAAGCATTCAGATTTTAAGATAAAGCAGATGTGGGTGAGGAGGCGGTGAAGCTAGATCGCTCTGGTCTTTATCCCTTATTTCAGCTTATATAGTACCTACTGTTCCCAAGAGTAGTGCAGCACCTTGTGCCACAATGGGGCTGTGTGTTATTCTTTGTCATAGCTGGCTCGGCTCCGCTCTCATGTAGCCTACCGCGGAGGCTCATTATCACAGCATCGGTGCAGCATGTCCCGCATTCCTTATTTGTGATCTTTTCCACTCTTCCTCCTATTGTTTGGCACTGCCTCTGCATTACAGACAGAATACTTTTTACAGATGATGAAGATTAACAAAAGCTATTATCAGGTTCCTGGATCACAGAGAAATAGATCTCATAAAAGCTTACACAGGATGTACAGATACTATCAGGCAGAGAGAGAGAGAGAGTTAGCTGAAAGCAGAAGGTCACAAGTTTGATCCATGCAAACAGTCAAGTAGCATAACATAGCCTAATAATAATAATAATAATAATATTAATAATAATAATTCATAAAAACAATAATAATTATACATGTATTTTATGTAGTATTTTAAAATGTGTTCAAAGGCACTTGACATGGTAACACAAAGACAATAACAGAAACAGCAAAGGTATCAGTATAAAAACAACTACTATAACAACTATAAGCAGGAGAAGCAAAACAATATAATGAAGATTTAGAGGGTCAAGAATTCTAATAAATTTTAATTCAGAGTACATGTTACTGGTGTAATATATACTCTGTGCTGCAGCATATTCAAGTAAAGACATCACAGACATGACGACTATATCTCTCTGGTCAAACTGATCTCATGATGTTTGTGTGTCACGTGACCTGCGGCCACTGCTGTCTCTACTCACACATTGTATTCACACACACACATACACACACACACACACACACACACACGTCTCGATGCAGCTCCTTTGGCACCATTGTCTCTGTTGTGGTCAGTATTTTCCATTTGATTTGTTGGTGATTCATTGAAGAGAACCAATTTACTGTATTTTCACGCAACCATTACACATCACCTGCAGCCTCAATGCAGTTTGGGAGCACAACATAGCGGTGGCAGAATGAAGACTGACGGTTGTGGAGTGAATACTAACGAACACATCACAAAGTCACTTCGATTTTTATTTGATTATAACATCTTAAATTATTCTGATGGTGGAGAAATCAAATATTCCCAGTGAAAGATGGTGTTGATTTCAACCAATTCGTGTCAGTGTCTACAGTTTGAAAACAAGGTGCAGGGCTGGCGAGGTTGGTGCTGTGTATTGCTATCTTCCACTGAGCCTTTTTTTGATACTGTACTGTACTATCAAAGCGCTTGACACAGTAATGAAGAAATCTTGCTTTCAAGAAGTTGAGGAGAAAGAATCCATTAAAAAACACCAAAACTGAACTTAACTTAAAATATCCTGCATGACAACAAATGTATTTGCAGCTACAAAAACCGGTTGAGAGCCGGTACGGATCTGAAATAGTTAATATATATATATAGAGCGTAAAACTGAATAAGGTTTTAGAGTAACACTGCAAAGTCGTATTTATGGCGAACGTAATGTAATGTTTTTTAGCTCTGTCTTGACTAACTGTTGAGGGACACATCTGGCCTTTAAGCTGATGAATGATCCTTGTTCAGCTAGTCAATTTTATGTCTGCCTTTTGTTGCTGCTGTTTTTTTTTTGCAGAAGGCAGCTACTTACTGTGGCTGTATTACATCTGCAAAACAATGAGCTGAAAGACGCTAAAACAGAACTGCGAAGTCGGGTGATAATTCATCTCTGTGGGTTACAATAAGCGTCTGCTTTCACATTATGCTTTGTAGTTGAATCCATTGTTAATATAAAAATATTAATCAGAGCAGCTTTTAGACTTTTGTTACACTGATTTTTAAATTTCTCTGTTGGTTTAAATATGCAATCTGCCAGTTTACTGATGTATATGAAGGCTTATGACAATTGTTTCAAGTGTTTTCTTCCTTTATACTATTTCTCATACTGTATGTATCTCCATTGTTTTGAATTTCTAGTTGTTGCCTGATTTATCCTCAGTTTTTGTGATACGTTGTGTCTGTGGATGTCGGTTATTCACTGAGCTCCCCTGAGGTATGAGTAGGAGTGAAGCTATTAACCAACTTCCTCAGTCTTGAAAAGTAATTCGATCTCTACCAGGATTTGGGAGAGATCCAGGGCTGTCCTGCTCTGTTAGGACTGTCACAGCACAGGTAGTACTGATAAAATGTTTTGTTGTTTGATTTAGGGGGATCGGATTACCACTAAGCCTTATGGCTGTACAGTACCAGAGACAAACAGGCCACAACATACCCTGAATTCTTTGGTTACCGCTCAACAAGAAAAGGCAGGCCTTACCTGTGATTTAGGTTTGTTTTGGTTCCAAGAAGACACAGCTGGGATTTGGGTCCTTCGCAAATTCTATTGTGTTCATTGCCACTCTAACCCCAAGTTATTGCCTTTTGTATGAGATTTAAAAAAAAAACTTGATTTGCCAGTGTTGTAAATAGCTTGCGTGCTATTATAGCTCCAAGTATACTGTAGATAAGAACATATGATGTTGAGACCAAACAGTGCAGGAACACAGGACACAGAATAGTTCCACCAGAGAGATTTACACTGAATATACAGCACTGCACAACTGTAGCTAACAATTATCATTATTGATTAATCTGATTATTTTCTTTATTAACTGTATACTCTCTAAAATGTCATAAGATTGTGAAAATGAGTAAATGTTGGTATGTATGCTGAGAGAAAGCCACATTGCTCTTGCTCTTCTGATGCACATTTACATGAGCAGAAGTTGTGATGTTTAAAACATGCTTGTTGACTTCTGCAGACGGACTATAATTTCCTCCTTAAAGTAGTGCACTTTGACTTTAAAATGCCTTTGTGGGTAATGTTTTCTGGTTTATCAACTTAATTAATAATATGTATGTTTACTTACGCCTGTTAGAGGGTAAATGTGATTATTATTTTGTCAAAGTACAGCTAAGTATTAAGTATTTATCTCCACATGAGGGTAGGATAGATTGAAGCCACCTGGGCCAAAGTGGCACTAATCACAGAGACTTTCCCTGATTGACCACAGAGAGCAGGTGACAGGGTATGAAAGGCTTTGGAAGCCTGGTTGGTCTGTTTTTCCCCACACACTGGGAAAATGGAGGAGGGCAGTTTTGTGTACTGGTTTACTTTTACCGACTCCTGTTATTGATTTGAAAGACAACTCCTCTACTATAAAGCCATAGTTTGGTGAGCGAGAGACTTGAGTGAGTATGTTTGTGTGTGTCGTTAAATGCTGTTTATGTTACGTAAGAATGCATCTCAGCAAAGTAATTTAACAGAGTAATTGAACCTACTGCAGGAAGTTTTTAACTGGTTATTAAACAGTTTTAATTTAATACTGATGCGTCTATATAACCTACATAAGCTGTTACGACCAGGCTCGATTTGGAGAGCAGTAACATACAATTGGAATTGGAAAAGAGATGGAATGTGACAATTGACAGGTTCAGGTTAAAATCAGGTGTTTCATTAACTAAGGAGAGTGCGCTTGCACAATGAAATATAACAAAAGAGAGGCTATACAGGTACTGACAAATAACTAGTACACAAAATGAAGATGACTGAATGACACTAAAGAACAAAAAGAGATCAGCACCCATAAGCTTACAAACTAGTGAACAAAAAACAAACTAGCAGTTATTCTGCAACTTAAAGGTCTCAAGATTACGAGGGCACTGGCTGAATCCACTCAGATAACAGCCAGGCAATACTAGGAAATACAAACACTCTAGACTAACACAATGGTGTGCAAACTGATCACTAGTTCACAGCCGCTCTGAACTGTGGACACACAAGCTATTTAAGTGCAGCTGGGGTTGATTGAAGACTCCTGATTGGTAGCTTTGGTGGAATCGCAGCCACACCAATCACAGATGCCAGGGGACAGCAACCAGGAAGTAGGCGGTCTCTGCTCCAGAAGGACCAATCCTCAACAGGGAATCACACATGAAACACCACAATGAATATACACAAAACGACAACCAGCGGCGGCCGTAACACTCCCCCCCTTAAATTACAAGCCCTTGCGGCTTAACGTTAAGGTTACATACATAACACATAGCTAAGCTCTACAGCCTAGACAAAGCATCAGCGAACACATTTTCAGACCCCCTTTTATGTCGGATGTCGAGGTTGAAGTCTTGGACCAACAGTGCCCACCGCATGAGTCGTTGGTTGTGATTAAACATGCGGGACAGAAAAACAAGGGGATTATGATCAGTGAACACTACAAGAGGTAGAGAAGTAGACCTAACATAGACCTCAAAGTGCTGTAGTGCTAACAACAGAGCAAGGGTTTCCTTCTCAATGGTGGAATAATCGAAAACTAATCGAAACTTACTACTTGTTTGTAAACAGCGCATGCTCCATGGCTTCTTTTCCAGTTTTAGTGTATTGGTGCGGCATCACAGCACCACATACATGCGCTGGCATATGTACTACAGCGTTTTGGGTCGTTGTCAGTGAATCCGTGTGGATGCAGATATTTCTGGAAACGACGCCGTGTTTACGGAGATTTTCATCATATTGGGTGAGGCCGCGTATTCATGAGGACAGGCCCTTAATCTCAGAATACCTCCTGGCATGCACTGAACATCGTGTTGAGATGTTGCCACAACAGATGCACAGAGCTACAGCTGCCACTGCATGTGGTTATTAAGCTGTGAATTAATGTGAGGTTTGAGAGTAAGATGCAAATGTATCTCACAGGTTCTCCAGAGCTCTCTGCCGGACCTCCCTGTGACAAATGGGGCCAGAAATGTTAGCCCCTTTGTATTAATAATTCAAGATGTAATGTGAATGAGAGAGAAGCAAGAGTTCCTGATAAAATGCTGGTCTGCTGCACAGATATCTGTATCTCAATGTTTCTCTACCACCTCTGTGTGGGTCTGTCTTTTGCTGTCTCACCTCTGTTTGTGTCTTGCAGCTATTTTCCATGTTTGGTATTATAATGGATCCAACTGCACGCGCACAAGCCTGGAAAAAGATTAAATGGTATTTAGTGGGAGTGACAAATGTTAGGTGGCATTTATGAGCCACTATCAGTATGGTTTTTTTCCACATGCATTGTACACATATATGGCAGTAATTGTAGGTGCTGCATTTAGCAGAGGCCATTTGTTTATCGCATGGCTTTTTACCACATCGCAAAGATATTACATTAACATTTTTATATTTCTATTGTAGGATATCTTTTTGAACCAACATATACTAGACTACAAATCCCTCTGAGAAGGAGGAACAGCTGTTGTTTATGCTTGGTAGAGTCAGACAAGTAGTTGGAAAATCCAAGTATAGTATTTGTTTTCAGGATAGAACTATCACCGTCCGAATACACATAAGCAAAACATAAAATTACTTTTTTGATTGCATTGTTTAAATTTAAAGGTCCAGTGTGTAGGGTTTAGTTGTAGCAGTGAAGTTGCAGTTTGCAATACAGATGCCAGCGGTGTTGGCGTCTGTATTTGACAGGTGTAGGAGAAACTACAGTGGCCATGAAAAAAACAATGTTTGGTTTGCCTTTCTGGGCTACTATAGACTCCATAGAAGAAGAAATGTGTCATTCTAATTCTAACAAACACAACAATTCCTATATTCAGGTGCTTATACACTAATGAAAACATACCTATGAATATTATATTCAATAGATCCTCCTAAATGTTACTCACTGGACTCTCCTGATCCAGGGGAGCATAGGAGATGTCAAGGAACGATACAAAGCAAGTATTGGTTGATATTCATTTAGTCACTTTCAGTGTAACTCATTTCCAGAAATATATTTTGATGTCATCTATCAAAAGAGCGGATAAGCTAGTGGTCTGCTTATTATTCTTAGTGCGGCAGCCACAGAATTTGTGACCTTTACACTCCAAGGAGACACATAGAACTAGTTTTGAGTAGAGAAATTAGGCTTTTGCACATGTGTATTGTTGTACAGATCACCTGTGCAGTATTAACATAATATACCTACAAAAATCCTCTTTAAAGCCCAGTGACACTTCATAAGAAATTTTGATCACTTTTAAAATGACACAGAATGAATAAGGATTGGTAAATGTGTCTCACTGTCTATTGTCCCATCTCATTCTTGCATCTGTCAGAACTTAAGAAGCAAAGAAGGGATCCTAACTGGAAAGAGGCCAATATCTTAGACTGGGGGAACTTTAATAGTCCTGTGCATGCCTCTAAAACAATCTTTAAATGTGTTATACCATGTCCATTCTTGTGTGAATAGGAACTTGATCTGTGCCATTCCATAGCAGTATCTTGGAAGAGTAAGTAACTGAATTTCTTTCTTTTGGTGAGGTCACTGTGGTCTGCAGAATGTAAGGACATTCGTTCTGCTGCGGGGGAGAAGATCTGACTGACCTTAAACATGGAAGGACATTGTTTCAGCTCCAAGCAACAGGCATCCTTTAAGTTACAGCAGCATTTCAATTCTAATGCGAGTGAGGGTAAACAAGCCTATACTCCTGCAGCCAGAATCTACATCTGGAAGCTGGAATACTCTTCAGGGAATTTTTCGGGCATTCGATTTAAAAAACTGTTGAGCAAGAATTACATGGATGTTATCTCCAGAGGAAGCCATCTCAGGCTAAAACTTACTAGAGCTGATAAATCGGCAACAGGCTCAGTCCTGAGCCCTCGGTGGTCAGTTTCTCCTCTATACTGGGTTGGAAATCCTCCACCGCTGTGGGCCCCTGTAAGGAGCCTGGGAGAGTTCGTTTTCTCCCTGCTCCTCTGATGTCCTTTATTCCACCTCCTGCTCACCGAGCAGACCGATCTGCCAACAATAGCACTCCACATCCACCAGTTTCATCTCATCTCCATTTGTCACTACCGCAGTTGGAGCCTGACAGGCGGTTCCACTCAGTGTCAGCTCCAGTGACTTATTTTCTGAGACCACATCCACCCGCTGCTATCTCAGTTCAGGTAATCAATCACTCAAATGCACTCAATCGCTTTCACTTTACAAGGGAAACCCTGAAACTGAGCGATCTGAGGTTTTAATTGTTGGATTCTATCATCAATTTCATAAGGCACTAATGGCGTCATGTCCAGGCAATCCATTGAGCTGCATTATTAAACTTGCTAGCCTACACAGTTTAAGCTTGGGGAGGAGTTGTGTCATGTCTGATTCCACTAAGACTATAACCAACAGCTCTGAATGTTATAGCTTTCTTTTTAGTCTGCCACTTAATTCAATTCAGTTCAATTCAATTTTATTTGTATAGCGCCAATTCATAACAGAAGTTATCTCAGGACACTTTTCAAATAGAGCAGGTCTAGACCGAGCTCCTTATAACACTACTTGCAGAGACCCAACAGTACCACAGAGAGAGAGAGAGAGAGAGAGAGAGAGAGAGAGAGAGAGAGAGAGAGAGAGAGAGAGAGAGAGAGAGAGAGAGAGAGATTAAGTGGGACAGAAAAAACTGTATTTCATAACCGTGTCACAGACAGTACGGCACCTGTTTGTGGTATTATTACACAGCATTGGGGGTGGCCTTGCAGTAATACACAGAAATGCATGTAGGCCTATTAGTTGTTCCCCCAGTCTTGCTTGGCTGCCTCTCCACCTTTGGGAGTCTTCATTTTATCATATTAAAGAATAAACTGTCCATTTAATGTGTTTTAATCTACCCACCCCCTAAATTTACTTCTGGTTTTATTCAGGACTTTTCAGACGTTAATTCTTATGCTTGGGTGTTTTTAATATCCATGTTTTTGCCCCTCTTTCTTCTTGTTTACTACTGATTTTATCAAACTTTTTTATTCTTCTGCTTTGATCCAACATGTGAAGCAGTCGAGCCACGACAAAGAGCACACACTTGACCTTCTGTTCTGCCATGCTTTCTGATGTAAACTCGATTGATTTCTTTGATCACAATGCAGTGCTCTTCCTGGTTCCACTCCTCTCTCCAGACCCTTCTAAATTCACTCTCAGTTTCCTTCTCCTGTAAAGATTTTGCTGCCTCAGACACATTTTTAATACCAGAGAACAACATGGCCTTTCTGTAGAGGAGCTTGCCAGTGTTTTTAACAGCTCTTGTGCAACATTTTGTAGCTCCAGTCAGATGTAAAAAGATGAAACCTTGCCGTGATTTAAGGAAGAATTGAGGAGCATAAGAAAGGCAGAGTGGAAATGGAAAAGATAAAAGACTGAATGTCCACTAATACGTTTACAATCACAGAAGCAGAAACTAAGAACTGGATGTCCAAAAATCTTTAATGACTCGAAATTAGATGTAACTACCCCCTGTGGTCCCTATATTAGCAACGGTAATGATCTCTTCTCTAGTCTGGGTGCTCTTTATCAACTTCAGTCCCACCTTCAACACTATTCACCGTCACCAGATCAGGAAACTCCACCACCTCAAGGTCCCCCCCTCTCCTCGTACACTGGGTACACACAGCTTTGTTAGCAACAGATCACAAACCGTCAGAGTGGGCACTGTAACATCCTCTACCATCATCACCAACACCAGAGCCCCACAAGGAAGTCCCTTCCGGTTTATCCTCTACACCAATGGCTGCACCAGCCTCTCACCTATCACCACATAAATCAAATACTCTGATCACACAGTGGTGCACAGACAACTATCTGCAGCTGAACGTCACATAAACAAAAGAACTATTTAACACTTCCAGCACCCACAGCACAGCCCTCAGCTCCATCCACAATCCCACAATAAACTGAGCAAAGACTCTCTGCCATCCGCATTATCAAAGCTCTTTCTGTTGTCCCCCACCTTCTGCTGCTGCTTTAAAAAAGTATAATACAAATCATTCTCCTTTGCAGTTCCCCCTGTTTCTTCAACATGTTTAACTGCCTCCAATAGGAACAAACTCATATGCATCACAAACAGCGCCTCCAAAATTATTGGTCTCCCTAGGTCTCCCCAACCTCTCAGACCTAAACAGCAAAGCTATCACACACAGAGCACACATCATAGCACAGGATCCCAGGCACCCCCTCAATCAATTTTTCATATTGCTACCATCTGGTAGTAGTAGTTGTAGTAGTAGTAGTAGTAGTAGTAGTAGTAGTAGTAGTAAAAGACAACTGGGAGTTTCACTTAACCATCAGTTTTGCCTTATCATGACCTGAACTTTGCAGATCTTTCAAGCATGCAGACATCAGCACTGAACATCTGGCAACAGCCTGGTCAGGCATTCATAAGTGCAGTTGATTTATTTTCTTTGTTTTCAAAGTAATTTTTCACTTTCTGTCATTTTGTTTCTTTGATGATGATGGGATGCCTTTATTTGGGTTCCCAAGTAGAATATATTAATGGGGCCTTTCACCCTCTGCAACAACCTCCATTTTTAATGCAAAGCACCACCTGGATAGAAATGGCTTTCTAACAAGCCAATTCAACTTGCTGTAAAATACCATTTGTTAGCTTTTGAACTCTGTAAGTCAATGTATCATTTAGTTTCCTTTGTAAACTTATATTAACAGGTTTAACATGATGCTTTACGCAGCACTGAATATTCAAAAAGAAGTGTTAACAGAAGTGTTTGTCACCTGTTTATTGGTATATACTCCTTCCAATAAACAACAGATTTATTTAAATTATTAATTAATAAATAGGTAACTAACTTTAAATATTTAGCAACAACACTGATAAAAAGATATGAGGTTTTAGTTGCCTCAGCTCATTTCCTTCAGTCAGTTCAACTAAAATGTGTGGTGTACTTGAAATATCAAATTTTTCTGCGCCCAACTAATCAGTCCAATCAGAGTTGTTCAGGCAACATACATTTCTTAGTTGGCTCAACTTATGTACGTGTGGCCCCTGCAAAAGTGCATATGCAACCCCACACAGCCAACAAGGGCTATACAACTCCATGTGCCACAATAAACGTAATTTTCAGATCAGGAGGAGGAGGATCAAGGTAAGAACACACTTTTAGCCTGCTTGTATTTATCAAAATGCTTGTTTAATGCTTGGTTAAGTATTGTTAGATAGATA